TTGGAACCTTCCAGGATAGAGTTCCACGGGTTCAAATCCCCTTTTGATAAAATCCTTGTAAGATTGAACTCTCCTACGTTATCTTCTGTAATCTTGGACTTTATATGAGCTATTAGATAAGATTAGTCGCAATCATTCCTGTAATGGGCCCTCACTTACAAATAAAGGTTTCCCACCCTCATTTTGTACACCATAACTTCAGTAAAACAAGTTTCGGTGTGGCACCACCATGCGGACTATGTGTGGGGTGGTCGATTCATCAGCAAGAAATGACTGCTCCACTGTGCCGAGTATGTACGGGGGTGGTCTATTTGTTAGCAAGAAATGACCAGTCGCTTTAGTTTCAAGGTAAAAAATCACTGGTTCTTTTGTAAGAGTGATTTGAACTACTTTAGAAACGCCCCCCCTTTTCAGATTTTTACTGTGCTTTTATTTTTCTTGTGAATTACAAACAAAACATAATGGCTAATTGGTTAATCCTGCAAGTTCATATTTTTTTTTGTCTAAAATTTTTTATATCCGATAATTATTTTAAATTTTAATTAATCTGAAATTAAATCAAATCGTATTCTTTAAAAATATATTCTTTTAAATTTATTTTTTTTATTCACAAAATTCGAAATCGAAATCTCATTTAAAAAGAATTAAATTTTTTGCCACTCAAATTAAGAAGTATTGGTCACTTGCAAATCTATATTTGTTTCCTCAAATTAGTGTCTTGCCCCATTATTGCTACCTTTTCTTCCCTAAACCCCCTTCTCATCTTCTGATCTCTCCCTCTTTTGCCCTGTTGGCCTTATTCAATTGTACAAAAAAGGAATTGACACCCTCCAAATCTCTTCACTAGAGAATTGACACATAATGAATTGCAAATGGATTGACAACCATGCAAGATATAGCCGGGTTGTGATTTAAATACATTCTGTTGTTGCACCAGTCTGGCATTTGCAAATGGATTTTTGATGAGGTATGCATATATGATACTTGAATAAATTATAGTTCTTTTAGGAGTTCTTGACATCCATTGTGACTGTTTATAATCATTTGAATATGTCCTTGTTGCTTGCATATGTGATGATATTTTAAATTACCCACAAAGAGTGCTATTTGATTAATAACATACTGCAGTTCATTAGATATCGTGAAAGCAAATGGTTGGACTTGTGAATTTTGGTTTGTATGTAACCTCTGTAGGGGGAATGTTTGCTCTCTTAGATTTATAGTTGTTTGGCAGCAAAAAGGTTAGGAATTAGGTTTTGGCTTGTGGGAATTATTTTAAAATATTGGGTAAGAAAGATGGTTGATAGGTACTTGAAAGGAATGTTATTAAGGCTACAAATAAGAAGGGAAATTATAGTTCTGAGGCAGAGGTTTTATGCCATGAACAGTATCCTGAGAAGCTTGTTGTGAGAGCGAGGGGTTTAGGCCGATAGGAATTAATTTTAAAATATGGGCAAGCAAGAAGGGGAGGGGGATAGGGAGAGAGAGTGAGGGAGGGATTTGATCTAAAATATGGGAGAAACGAGATTTAGACGATGAACAAGAGTGGGGAGAGAGTGAGGATTTATGCTTTTATAATCATTATTTCATTAATCTAAAGCATAGCAAAATCTCAATAACTAGTAATTCTAATAATTTTTTGATTTCATTTGAATGAACGGTGAAATATAAAATAATAATAAAAATTATTATAATTATAATTAAAAAAATTATTTTAATTATGATTGAAAAAATTTTATAATAAAAAATTTTATTGAGTATATTTCACTAAAACTGACATGTAAATTCAATTTAAGTATAATCCTAAATTATCCTAAACTAGCTCAAACTAATTTTATAAAATAATTACTAGTAAGGTGATATTAACCAACAGGTCTCCAATAAAATTAGTCTAACTCGAATAATCTAAACTCCCAAAAAAGACTAAACAAAAAAGAAAAATTGGATAAGGTTAATCTTATTAATCAATTAAGGACTATGAATCCATGTGCATTATCATTGTCTTTAATTAATTTATTATTTATTTTCATTTAAATTAAAAAAAAGATATAATAAACCATTTAGAAAGTGACATATTTTTAAGAGCAAGAGTAATATACAAGGCATGTTCTTTAAAAAAAAAAAAAAAAGTAATATAGAAGGCATAAAACGATCAATCAAACCGTTTGAATATTCTTCCATTGTCGTTATCAAAGGCCCCATTGCCTTTTTGGCATCTAACTTATTGGGAAAAAAAAAATTTAAATGATGCTTTTCTTCAAATTTTTTAAATCATCCAAATACCATTCCAAATGTAATTTGACAAAAATCATCACATACCATTCAAAACTCATCTCAAGCCATTCCATTTCAGTCAGGAAAAAATTGAGAGGTAACAATCAAAATTTGACAGGACAGAAAGTAACATATATAGTAAATCAGCACAGTTTTATATCTTCTAAACAAAAAAAAAAATCAAGTGGCGGAGGCATCTGATTATTCAAGGACAAGGAATAAGGATGGACTGATGTTTGAGGAGATAAATAATTTTAATTTCTTTAGACTGTTCTTCAACCTGTAGTTGAAGTGATTTTTTGGAATGAGCATATAGAACTTTATAGCTGGAAACCATGAAAGGGTAGGTAAGATATATCAACTTTGAACATGTCAGTGCCTTTGCCAATTAAGTATAACGAATTTATCTCTAAAACTATAATGAATTTACAATTGAAATTCGCCTTTATCAAATGGTTCAAGTTTGTTAATACCTCAGCTATGGAAAAAAGAAGTTAAAAGTAAAATAGAAACAAGTTTAGTTCAAATTTAGCTAAAACTGACATGAAACTATTCACGATTTTGTTGAAAGATTGACTGCATACATATATATATATATATATATATATGTATGTGCACACGAATGAAAATTAAGATAGTGTTGAATTAATACAAAATTTGCAATAACTTAAAAAAGAGAGAGCTTTACCAGATAAAATCAAGAGAAGTAAAGCTCCTACTACAAATTGGCTGTTTGATTTTAAATAGCTCCCATATTTTATAATCACATCCCAAGCGAATACAGAAAATCCAGCATAGCTATATGGTGTATATACGTGTATGTTTCACATAGTTGAGATACAGAGGGAGATTGTTATGAGAACATGGAAGAGGGCATCACTTTTGGTCTTTATTATGTAGATTCGACAGACTTGGGAGAAAGAGGAGCCACGGAACTATTGTTGGCAGGCATGGACTTTGATCGCTTCATCCAGGCTGTAGACCTTGACCGATGAAATCTGCATCGAAAAGAGCCCTGGTGAGTTGTTGGTGAGCACAAACATTGGCCCCCTTTGGGCGAATTGGCTGGCACAGCTGCTTCAGAGGCGTTGCTGCCTTTGGGAGAGGTGCTCACACTAATGTTTCCATGGGAGGGCGGGGAGGCCATTTTTTTTGGCAAAAAAAAAAAGAAATGGTAATGGAAAGCTTCAAGTGGCCAAACTTAAAGAAGCTGTTAGGCCTTGGTTATATTAAGACAAGATGGGGATGACTCAAATCTTTGTCACTCTTAGTGTAGCGTGTAAACCAATGGGTCAAGTGGTCCCCATTTTGTGATTTCACCATGGTTGTCTTTTATCTCAATTCTTAACCAATCAATAAAAAGCCTCCCCAATCCCAATATTCCATGGTGTAAAGGCCGAAGAGATATGGGGTTAGGTTCCCTATGATCGGATTTTCATGTTCACAAAGAAATATGAAAGGGACATCTCATCTGGCACAAAAAAAAAGTAGCATATATTTTATGGATTCATTTTTCCAATTTTTTTATTGAATATAGGTGATATTTTCAGTCACTTTTTCCCTTCTCCAAATTTTTTTTTTTTTGCAAACTTTTACAAAATTTCACCAAAATTGTTTAGCTCTTAGGCATAAATAAGGTCTAGAAATGATGAAAATTTTTTAAATATTTGATAATTTGATTATCTATTTATTCAATTAAAAATAAATATTAAATAAAATTATTATTTATCATGCATATATATAAGTAATCAAACAGTCGAAAATAAGATAAAATAGCATTACTCAATAAACTTCTAGATAAATTTACTAGCACAATTATTCCAAACAACTTATGTTTGTTGTTTAGCAGAAGGAAGACAGGGACCTGGTGTGATGAATGGGTGCATGAAGAGATGAGGTTTTCATGTGGGGCTTCCCATGGCTGTTTGTACACTCAGCCAGATTCTCTAATTACTCACATATCTAATAACTAGGAAAATGTGGACCCTAATTTTATAATTCATAATATATAAAAATACATGTGTGAACAATTCTTTAAATGAAAAAAAAAATGAATATTATTGTTTATTATATATTTTTTAGTGGAAAGAAGTCACTAGTTTGGGATAAAATTCTTCCATGTGGATGAGATTAGAGCCCTTTCGCTATTATCTTTAATCAGGCGGCATTATGTGATTGTGATTTATTCATTGTCTGGTTATCGCCTAATAATGCTTCTGTACTAAGGATTTTATATACATTAATTCATATCGATTTGGCAACATTGAATTAAGTTTGAGGTCCGAATATCAATATTAATCTATACACGTGTTACTACGTTTTTTTTAATAAAGATGTGTTAATATGTTAATTAAGGTAGCAAACTAGTAATAACGAGACAATAGTAAATTAGGGTTCTATTAATGTAAAAGCGTTTAAGATTAAAATTTTAAATGCATTAAATTGATTTGAAAGAATTAAAATTTTAAATGCATTAAATCGATTTGAAAGAGTGTGCACTTAAAATATAAAGAGTATAAACCTTTGGAACTTTTGCCCTTTCCCAATTCCCCATTCATCAATTGTCTTTAATTGTGCTGGATATTTCAGTTTGCCAGTCACAATGCTTCAGTCAGTATGCTAGCCATGAAAGGAAAAGTAAACGGTAGAAACCTTTGAACCTTTTGCCTTTTTCCCAATTTCCATTCATCAATCATTGTTTTCTAAAGTTTTGATGAGAATTTTCATTTTCATATCTCAAACTCACTATCCACTAATATTGAAACTTGAATGCATGGATTACACATCTTTTACAATCATGTCAGCTAAAATAATGAATCAGAAAGTGTCTAAATGCTTGTTGTAGCCATTGGTACAGAAATAGTAACACTAGTGCTAAAAACAGATAAGAAAGTGTTCAAACTACTACGCAATAGCAATGCTACGTACTGTTTTCCTCAAAAGACAGTACCAGCACTAACTCAGCTAAGCAAATGCAAGAAGTTTTAAGATTTGTGCAATCAAACTGATTCCGTTAAAAATAATGATTTCAGTATGCTTAAAGCTCTATCTACCTTTCATTGCTGCAAAGTGAGCGGCCAAATCATCATAATCTGGTAACTTCGGATGCACATGCCTGGCTGCATTTGACCTATCTTGCTGGAAGGAAGTAGCACGAGCATACACTTTAGTTCCCTCTGATTGAGTTGTTTGCTCATGAGGGAGAGAAATTGATCGGACTGCACGGGAAATGGGCTCACACATGTCAGAACTATCCCTGCTTGCTTTCAGTGGCGCTTCACCTGCATCACTTCCCATATGATGTGCATGACGACTTTTAGACTTTCTTCTTATCTTTCCCTCTTCACAGGATGATGGCTTCTTACTGTAATGAATCAACAGTTTATCAATTATCCTTTCCTCCTCATCATTTCTATGCTGCTCGTCATCCAAAAAGATTTGCAGACCTCGTCTTGAGTCATCCCTTCTCCTGCTTCTTGGTTTTCTCCTTGCAAATTCTGTATCTTCAACATTATCAACTTCAATATGACCAGATGCTGATTTCAAATGTCGCCTCCTAGATAATCTTCGTCTTTGTATAGGGGTATCACTTCCATCATGTTTATAGTAATAATCTTTTTCATGATCATGACTATTCACTTGCATAGGTGGAATTATCTGCCCCTCTTTATCAGGATGATATAAACCTTCTCGGTACTTATCAGTCCTATTAACTGCATAGGCCCCTTCAGGCATTGAAGGATCACCAGAGACTCCATTGCTGTCAAAACCAGCAACTGAAGATCCAATATTGGCACCATGCTTGTGATCCTTTGGTTTGATACGGGGTTTAACATAAGGAGGAGGGATACCGCTATTAAAGTGGGGCTTCCTATTAGGTTCATTTTCTTCGTGAGTTTTTCTTGCCGAATTTTGTATACTGTATTGGCCAGCATAGTTATCAGCAGTGAACAGGTCTTTATCATGACTCTTTAAACGTGAAGCTGCATAGCTATCAGGATTTAGATCTGGCTTTCTCCCTGGTAGAACACCTTGGTTATCTATCCTAGGTACACTATTCTCCCTACCATCTTGTAGCTTGGCTCCATCATCACCTCTTTCCATTCTTCTCCCATAAGAACTGCTTAATCTTGCTGTTTTCAAGGCAACATCATCCTTCCCATTCCAAATTTCAAGCTTACCACCAGAAACTTCTTGTTTTTGCTGTAATGGAACATCGAGCTTCTCCTTCCATGTGAAAGCTTCCTCCCTTCCATGACGTGGTTTGTACCCCTCAACAGAGAATTCCTGTTTAGGTGGAAAGATGATCTCATCCCTTTTTGAGACAGTATCCTCCTTGCATTTGTCCAATCTTTGCCCACCCTTACCCACTTCAAGTTTTTCTTTAGATGAAACTTTAAGCTTATCTCCTAGTGGATCAGCATTTCTTCCACCATTCGATTTATGATTATCACCATTGACATGGAAAGACCCATAATTTTTAGGTTGGTCCTAGAGAACAATTACAGAGATCACAAGAGTTCCAATGTGAGGAGACCGTATGGATATGCTCAATGAGATTATTAAAAAAGTAAAGATCAAACACAAGTAGAGGCATACCTGTGGAATCACAGTAGTTTTAGACATTCTTCGCTCGAAAGCTCCTGAGTCCCATTTTATGGAAAACTCTGACGCTATGTCATGCATTACCTTCACTTTCCTCTCCATTGAGGAAGGATTTGAAGCTGAATTCTCAACAAGCTACCATGAAATTTTACAAGGTTGGTCATAAAAATGCAGTGATGGAACCATAAATTATTCTCTATTTGGAGTAGATCATTGGAAATTTACCTGCTTATTGACAAATAATTCCAGGGAATTTCCATATCTTTCATAAAATATTTGCCTAAGATCACGCAACTCTGGCGAATCAGAAAACCTTGCAGCTGCAAACATTAGAGATGAGACAGCCTCCCTGCAATCTTCAGGGCAATCACTGTATGCATTTATTAATGAGAATAAGCAACTGTTGTTATCATCAGCTTATTAATGATAAATTTCAAGAAAACAAATAATAAAAGAAGTTCACAATCCGTCTCACATGAAAGTAAAAAGAAGTACAATCAGACACTACAACCCATCTTATGTCCCCTACAAAGGAAAAAACCTTTTATGATGAAGCAGAATAGTTCCAAGATACCATCTGCTAATATGCTCATATAGTCATATTTCTTCCCTAGCATAAACCTAAATTCATAAAAATAACATTAAATGATAAAAAGTAGATCCTTGTCTACTCTTACTGACTGGTGGAAATACCAAAACCAAATCCAAAAATCACACAGCAGTCCACAATCCTTAAAATTACGGATAGAAATTGGTGACTAAAATAAGGCACACAAGAACGGGAATCTCTTGTGGAGCCAGAACAACAGTCTCATCACAGAAAATCTTAAAATCATCTCAGTAAGGTAAGAGAAATTTCAATCTTTTTCTTTAGCAGACATTTCTTTGAAATTTTTACAAAAATTTTCAACTTAAACAACATGGTGAAAAGTTGAATGACAAGAAACTTTTCAAAAATTCCAATCTGAGATACATGACACAATCCTTCCCCTTTTAATAAGCCACCCTTTTCTGACCCAAGTGTGTTTTATTATTTCAAATTCAAATTTTCTTTTTACCATTAGCAACAGATAATTATGTTACCTCAAATCCAACTTAGCATCAAAACTGCAACAGTCTCTTGATACCATAAAATAAGACAATCATGAAGTGGTCCACAAAGAAGAATGACAACTAAATCTTGCATTTAGCCTTCCCACTTTAACGGCCACCTCCATCAACTGCAAGCTAAAAGTATATCTAGCTTGTACTATCAAATTAAAGTCCAGATAAGATGAATCCTATGACAGATTGCTGCAGAATATGGCTCACAGCCGCATATTTAGCACATAAGCTTAATGTTATTGCCAATGAATTGCACTAGACACGGCACTATTCAAAAGAAAATAGGCAACTTTCAGATCACTCGTTTTCATGACTTACAATTAGCCTTTTACACTGATTTCCACAGATATATGCCTATACAAAAGACTATGGTGAGTAGCCACCGGCCAGTCATAAACATAGCAAAAGGATTTCAAGCCACCATCATAAAGACGATATAAAAAAGGAAATTTATCAAAAGTAAATAATTAACACAGCCACATATACCTCAGTTTTTGCATAACCAAAACATGATTCGACACGAAATCGCAACATTTCTCAACGAAATCATAGCAAGAAGAAAGAGTCAATTCAGCAATATATCCTTCCACCTGTACAATATTTTCAAATACCCAAACAAGTATGAGAAAAAAAATACAAAGAAATTTGAAGCCTTACTCTTCTGCTATTAGTCATTCAAAAAGCTAAAAAAAAAATTATTTAAATCAAAATTTAAATTTTGGAATTCTTCTTCTTCTTCTTCTTCTTCTTTTTCTCTACATTTTCAGGTTGAATATAAGCATTAAAAATAGTAAAAATTTATTTTTTTTAAATTACCCTGCCATAAGCATTAATATCAAGGCCATTAGCGAGCAGATCAGCTATATCTTTCTTCAAAAACTTAAGCGTTGCGCTCTTCTTCCTCCTTATCAAATCGATCCGGTTCTTTATCACTTTTATCAATGATTTACTGCAAAAGAAAAATCTTCACATCAATTTAATTTTCCAAAAAAAATAATAATGCATTTATTTTAAGAGAAAGTAGAAACCATTTTGAGGCAAAACCACGGCCTAAGATTCCGTCCAGCATCTCCAATCACTGCCTTATTCAACTCAACGGAACGACTGAACTCAGATAACTCAAAAAGACGCCGTAAAATCAGAAATCAAATCAAAAAAACGCAAGATCTGCCATTAAAGAAGCAGAGAAAAGGCTCTTTCCTTAAGCTTCTTCACTGCCGTCTCAAAGACATTGTTACGTTCTAAGGCATTTTTTTTTCTTTAGAAACACTCATATACAGGTTTACTGCACATCTGCACTGAACAAAAAAAAAAAAGAACTACTGAATTTACGATCATAGCCTCATCGTCTCCATTTAATGACCGGAATCTCCAAACGATGGATTATTTAAACGTTAGGAGGGTAGTTTAGGAATAAGGCGATAGATGGGTAGATTATGACCGTTGGATGAGGGCAGTAGGTCAGGAGAGTGGACGGTCGGATCGGAGTGTTTTCTTTTCTCTCGGGACGTTTGGAAAAGGCGGAATCGTGATTACAGGGATCTGTCTGACAAGCTGCGTGGCAAAATTAAGGTTGCGATTTTAGGACAAAAATTTCGGTTACATGGCTTCAGTAATTTATCAGTCTACGAGAAAGATCAAACGGCCGTTATAACGGTTTCAACTGGACTTTTGTGTAAGCAACCTTTTATTTAAAGAAAAACTGTTGTGTTTAGTTTAACAAATCAAGAAAGAGTTAACCTTACTTTAACATTGGCCCAACTGATGTTTATTAAAACATTATAATTAATGTACTGAAAAATTATTTAATACATTATTTATGAAATTAAAAAGATTATCACATGTATATTAAAATATTTTTTAAAAATTAATAAAAACAAAATATATGACAATATTTTAAGTTTACCTGTAAAATTCAAAAAATTTATCAATAATGTAAAAATAATAATTTTTAATCTTTTACTATGTTTATAAACACTCAATAATAAGATTTTTTTTCATTTTAAATTATTTGAGTGTTATTTATTTTTACGAAGTTTTAAAAAATTTTAATTTTAATAAATTTAATATTAAATTTTAAATATTTTTGTATATTTAAAATTTCATGATCTTTTTGGTGTTAAAAAGTAAAAAGTTATAAAAAATAAGAATTATAAATATTCAAAAATATATATAATCTTAAGACATTAAAAAAATTTTAAAAAATAAAAGGAAAGCAGTAATACTATATGTTGCGTAAAAATTATTTCAAACAAGTTATTTGAGCTGTACTAGCATTATTAATTTTCTTAGAAAATTAATGAAAAGAGAAGGCTTAGGTACCTATCTGCTCAAATCCACCCTGGCTAACAATAATGATCAGGTAGATGCATTATTAGGCCTAATTGTTTCCTTATCCATCAAATGATTCAAGTCCATCACCACCTGCAAAATTAAATAATTTTTTTTGGTAAGAAAGATCACATAATAAATAAATTATTTAATCTTTTAAATTAAGATAAAATATATTATATCTAATAATTTAAAATAAATAATAATAAATTATATATTTAATTTTAACAAGTGATCATCGATAAAATTTAAATTTAAAATTTTTTCGTTAAAAAAAATCAATTATTTAAAAAAATATATATTATAAAATTTTTATGTCAGCTTGACAAATGACAATCGGAAAATGGACCCTCACACCATATTTATTCCAAGAACTAATCCAACAGTTGGAAATTGGAACTTAGAATTTCTTTTTCATATTGAGAAAAGACTTAGGCGTCAATCATGGTATTTTAAAACAATGCTAAAAAAGTGGGTTTGGATTGTCATTTTCAAGGGTGAAGGGTTTAGACAGGATTCCCCATTTTACTAAAAGTGACTAACTTGCATTGGTTAATGAATAAGGACAGGGAATTGGTGGTGTGGCAGATCCCATCGCCCACGCCAACATTATTAAAATAGGAAAACAAGTAGTGGTAAGTTGATTGGGTTAGTTGTGTAAAAGTAGGCCTAGAATATGGTGTCTGGTTCATCATCTTCTTCTTCTAGATCATCATTAAAATAAGAAAGAAAATCTACTTCATCTCCTGCGGATTATTGTTCACACCAAGGAAATTCAGAAGATTTTGCAAATGATTTTGGGGTTTGTTGGCTGCCTGGCTTTTACTTATTTTGATCTGTTATCTCAGCGGATTCCAGCCATTCCAAAATATTTGACTGAGTTATCATTTGTCATTGCATTGTGAGATGTTCATTGCTTTTCACAATTACAAAGAGGAAATTAACCTTAAACCAAGTTACCTTTTTGTTCATGAGAAGTATTGTTTTCTCTCTAGTCAATGTATAATGAAGATCAAATACCAATGTATCAGTGTGGGCCAAATAATAGGTATAAAAACCTTTGAATTTGTTGAAATACATGTCTAACACAAAAATGGAATCCTGTTGTATTTCTTCAGTGTGATTGTTCGGGGAAGCAGAAACTTCTTCATCCAAGATGCCTTTGAGAGACGATGGATATGAATATGAAAATGGTTTTCAATAGCATAACTCCACATGGAGCCTCAAAAGTCTGATAAATACTTGTCAAGCAAACTCCATTCTGGGGGCTTGGGCTGTGATCTAAGATCATCTCAGTATATCCCTGTGGCAGCTCTAGCAAGACTTAAATCATAAGATGTGGGTTAATGAATTTTTAATAACAAAACATTCCAACTACTTGCACAAGACGATATCGAATGATTCACATCATAGATGCATGAAAAGCAGCATTTCACTGAGAATCCAAATCTACCATCCATTACACGTCCAATTTTCTCATCAAGATAACCACCAATAGTGACCCCTTTTCTTTTCTTTTTCATCCATTAAGTCCTAACCCTTTCACTGCACTCAAAATCTCAAATTCCAGAACTTGACATCATTTAATTTCAAGTTCTCAATATATATACCACTCACACTGCAAAAATGGATGACTAACATTCCATCCATTCTATACATACTAAGCGAATAAGCAAGTGGTAGCCACCATTGGAAACTGAATACAACCAAATTGAACCGGGCTGGAGTTTTGGCCGTTCACAAACCTACCAAATATTGAGTTTTGTTTCTCAGGACAGTTTTTCAGGATTCTCTGGTTCTTCTTCCTTTTCAGGATCTTCCTCTTCCTCTTTCGTTTCTTCATCTTCTTCAGGAGGATCATATGGCATTGGTGGTGGTAATGGTGTTTTCATAGGGCTAAATTGAGGAAATATGTCAGGTCTACGCCCAGGCTCAGGCCTCTCCCACTCCAGCCATGTAAACCAAGATGGTCATATTTAATCAGACTGCCATAGACAATAAAATTGATAGTCAAAAGATTGAATTATCTAACCAGTAGCCATTAATAAAACAACACTATTCCAACAGAATATTAATGCATAAAATTAAAGCCATCCCGTAAAAATGCCGCGTAACCTCACAAAGCTGAGCACAAATATCATATCAGTAATTTAAAGTTGTCCCGACGGCCGGAAACTTGAAATTTCCCTTTCCCATTAGCAAGGCAGTCAGAAACTACTTATTAAAAAATGGAACTTGCAATGGGGAAATCAAGGGGATTGCGACCAGTCAATTTCTCTTCCTCGGGAGCCAAACAAACTACCAGTTTCACAAATTTAGACACCAAAAAATATAAAAATTAAAAAGTACTAAGTTACTGGAAAAATATAAAATTATTTACGTTAACTCTGTGAAGTTTTTATTAAAAAAAAATTCAATAAAAAGTAAAAGTCAAATAAATTAATTAAAATTTTTTGTTACATGAAGTAAATATATAAAATTTTAATATAAATCATATTTTTAATAATTATTTTATGTATTATTAATATTCACTCTATTAATATATCAATTTAAATTTGTATTAAATCATTTTTTAAAAATTTTTTTACAAATTTCCATCTACAAAACTTCATCTGACATTATCCCTGAGTTACGGACCAACGGCCTTTTCTCCGACTCGTGCTCGCCTCGGTCCGTCTCCACGAGTCCCCAAGGCCCAATGGCCACAATTCTAATTTCTGTTGGCTCAGCCCTCTTTTTCCCTTTGCCATCTGATGCCTGGGCCCATCTACCCGTTGACTTATTTTTTCAGCTCTGTTTTGTTTTTTTTTCTCACCCCGAATTACATGAAAATGCAAATCTACACGAGTCTTGACACTTCAAAAGGTACAAACATAGGAAGCATCTACTCAAGGACCAAAAAGAGCCCAACTTCTACTAGAGTTTGCGAAGAAGAGTCTGATTGAAACTACAGAGGATTTGTTTCAAGCTTTAACTCTCCACTTCCTAAGGCGTCTCCGTGCTAGTGGCATTCTTGTCCTCAAGGAGTCAACATGCGTTTCCTCCTCGCTGTCTTCACTATCTAGCACAAATACCGTCTCAGATATTGAAGATTCTTCTGTTTCTTCGATTCCCATCTGCTTTATCCCCGTATCAGTTTCCGTACTTTGAACAATTTGACGAGACTGCTGCTTCTGGCTAAGTCCGCAGTCCTGCTGTACTTTGGTTAAAGGAGCTAGAGATAGCTTACGACCAAGCCCTCTCTTTCCAGGAGTTTGGGGTTTTGAAACCGGCAAGTTACGAATTGGCATCACATTCTCTTTGTTACTCTCCTGCTGTCAATGCGATGAGCCATTCAGTCCCAGTGACAGCTTCTTACATACTGAACTAAGCTTCTCCGATTTTATATTAGCAGAGACGTTTTCCATTCCATCGTCAAATTCCTCTTCATCTGTCCCAAGCATTCTCAAATTTTCACATGTTTGCAATGACTCCATAGACCCCAAATGGCTGTTTCTGGCTTTGGCAAAGCTTTGAACTGCTCCTTATGCTGCTGTTTGCTGATATACCATCTTGATACTGGCTAAGTTGTTGATTGTGACTAGCCTGAGAAAGTGATGATCCAGAAGAAGCCTGATGTTGACAGTGGGAATATAAGTAATTAGGGTCCACATTCTCCTTGTTATCAAAATCGTCCTAGCATTGATTAGAAGTTTTCAGAGTTGATTTGCGCCCGTTTCCAATAACTTTCTCATGGTTCAGATTGCATTCATTCAGCACATCATTTTCCTTCTCTTTTTCGCTTACCTTCCATATCACTAATCGATTCAGAGGGAAATCAGTGGTGATTAGACACCTCATTCACCTCCTGATCACCATCTTTTTTCTTGTTTGAGCTAGTCGACTCGAGTGATAACTTCAGGCTAATGCCATTTGGTTTTTTATGGCTTGGAATAAACTCATTAGCACATTGTTTTGGTTCCTTGTCTAGTCCTTGAACTTCTATCTGCAACCAAAAAGAAGTATGAAAAAGAAAGAATCCAATACAAGGAAAAGGTAAAAATCAAACAAATCAAATGCTAATACAATCATTGAATCTATGTTGGTTTCAGTGCATTGATTGCCGCAACGGCTTTCTCCAGCTCCAGCATTGGCATATTTCTAAGTCATGGATCTTGCTTTATGGTAAAAAACTTGTCTATTATATTTGCATTCCCCACTCCGTATATTCATCAAACATATCAAAAAGGAAGACAAAAAAAAAAGGAATTCCATTCATCAGCCTAACCCAATTCATCTTGAGAGAATGTCCACTTGAGAGAATGTTCACTGAGCAATAGCCTTATACTTGTAAGGACTGTTGAAACGTTCATTGACGGTTGCCATGCCCCCTGCTTGGATGAGAATCGGACCCTTCTTGTCATATCATATATCGGAAGCATTCAAGAAAAAGAACTTCCATTTTGGGAAATGATATAGAAGAAGAATCAATGAAGCAAACATGGTTTTTGAGAAAAAATTTCAGTGCCCTCTACTGACTAAGTGAGTAAAAAGACATATAATCCTCAAACACAGGTTGTTCTACGTATTTAATGCTCCCTTTATCCATTATTGCTGCCCAACAAGTTTTATGAATTTGTCCATTTGCAAGAAGATCAGTGAGCCCTTACCTTGCATATGGTCAACATTCTTTGACTTTAGAAATCTAAAGTCTTTATGTTAGAACTTATGAAAAAAATCGAGTCCTTTCATCATCAGTTTAATAAGATTTAAAAAAAAGAACAAAATTTTAATCATCCAAATATCACCTCAAATATAATCAAAGCATGTGAACAAAACTAACCTTAGGGGGAACAAATCAAAATTGGATTTCAATCAATTGCTCAATTTTTTTGTAAATTGAAGAGAGAGAAAGATAAATGAACTTACGGGCGTCGATGGAAGAGAGATCAGATCGGAAAGATCAGAATGTGGGGACAGAAAAGGGAAGGAGGCGCCATGAGGGGGGGGGGGGGGTTCAGTGAGAAGAAGCTTTAGTAGCTCCTTTTGCATTCGTAGTTTAAGCCTTGCTGCTTGTGCCATTTTCTTTGTTTTTTCTTCAAATGGGAAAAAGCCTTTGATCCTTTCTACGGATATCAAGGAGTGGTTTCGCTCCGTGTTCTCTGTGTTGGCCTTGTTTTTTCAGCTTTAAAAATGAAAATTTTCGGGCTTTTGATTCGGCGCGGGCGGTGTTGAACCTTTTCAAATGTGTTCCCCTCTTCGGTTTTCAACTTTTCCATCTCCCTCGAAAAAATCAGAGGAAAAAACATAGTAGCGAGTGGTACACTAATATTACTACTAACCCAAACACTTAACGTTTTCACTTGCTCGGTTCGACCCTCCTCCTAACAGGCCACAGGCCCATAGGCCCATCTTTGAACGTTGATTAATAGGGTCAATAAGAAACTCTCCCAAAAGATTGTGTTTGACCTTTTAAAGATGATCGATTAAATTTTGAATTTAAATTATTTCTTTGTAATCGTTACAGGCCACTTACCATTATATATATTATATGGGCATAGCAATTTTTTTTTTAAATAAAAAAAGTATCTCTCTGTCTATTTTTTATTTTTTTATATTTCAAAATTATGTCCTTGTTTTTTTAACATCTAAAACTTTTATTTTTTATGTTTAATTTTTTTTGTTGACATTAAAAATTATAAAATTTTAGTTTTATACAAAAATTAAAATTTAATATTAAATACATTAAATAAAAAACTTATTAAATATTATGTTTTAAAAATAATTATATAAATTAATTAAGTTAAAAATTATAGTGATTAATTTTGATTTTCAATCTAAATATTAGTCACGGTTAAATAAGTGATTAATAATTTTCTTTTGATTTTAATTACAAACTTGATTCACAGTCATAATTCTTACTACCCAAAAGAGAAAAATGCCATTCGACCGACATATTTCAATTCAAATTCAAGCTTCCCTCCTAGTTGTAGTACTGCTCCTGTTAATCTCCATAGAAAAAAAATTCAAAGTTTTCCCTCCTATTTGCGGTGTTATTATAATCTCCAAAATTCTTTGACTTTATCCCAAAAAGAATCATGCATAATGGATCGTGTAGTGTGCGTTGGGCCAACCGATTTTGAAAGAGCATGCCCCTCCTACTCATTAATCGTCATTCCTAAGTGAACTTCAAAAAATTTTGGGCAAACGGGATCCACAAATATATTATCCAAATCAAAATCAAAATCAAAATCAAGCTCTTAATATAACAATCTGACGTTGAAATAAAACCTAGACAGCATTTAATATCATAGTCCGCGATTCACTGAAGCGTCCCACGTCAGGTAACGACGTCGAGATTCAGGAGCAACAACTCTGCCCAATTATGCAACGCGGACACCCACTTTGACACTTTACCAACCCAACAAAGCGGCTTTGCCCGCTTCTGTCCGGTCCCTAGCAAGCAGGGAAAATTAAAAAAAGTGGCCGGTCCACGCTTGGTTGATAGCACGCGCTGTTTCACGGGAGTGGTCCACCACTCCTCACTTTCAAAAATCCTTCACGTAAATGGAAGTCAAAAACAAAAGCGAGCCAAAAATCCACCTACTGTTTGCCTTCTCAATTCAAAACGCCACACCCGTCCACTCGTCCTCTCCTTAATCGTGCCATACACGCGCCGCTCATCCTCGAGAGTCTCCACCCTAATTAATAAAAAAAAAAAAAAAAAGAGAAAAGAGAAAAATATTTATATTATCATCACACACTCTCTCTTTTTGAAATTTAATACCGGTAGTTTGAACTTTTAAAGAGGAAAAAAAAAATAAAAGAAGAAAGAGAAAAAAAGAAAGGTTCAAAACAGTATCATATCAACAGCCACTTGCGTTTACTTCTTCTCTCGTTACCTTTCGCTTTCTCTCTTCAAATTTTTTATTTCTTTTTTATTTGGGTTTTGAGAGTGATATTTTTGCTGAAGAAGCTTTGCAAAATTCTTGAACGGCGAGCGAGAGAGAATGAGCGTGGTGGGAAGACAGACGGCGAGATCTAATTCGACGTCGCATCATCAACGGCAATATTCTGACAACTTTCTCGACGCTTCTTTTAACAGCAAATGGCTTCGCTCATCTCATTTCCCTTCGTCTCAGGTCTTCGATCTTTTCCCCTCTCTTTCTTCACATCTACATTTTGCATTTCTTGTAACGTCGTCGTTTCTTTCCTTTGCTGTTTGGTTAGGAGTTCGGGTTCTACGACGGGGGAAGAATGAGCAGGAAGTCGCCGGGAACACCGCCGGTTTTTTCTAGGTCCTCGAGCTTGAGGAAGAACAGCGATGAATACGTGTCGCCCGGTGAGCTCAGCCCCGGCTTATTGGATCTGCATTCATTTGATACTGAGCTGCTTTCCGAGGTTTTACCCTATTTCTTCAATTAGACTAAAACTTTCCGGTTTTGTTCTCACACATGAATGTGTAGATTTACTCAGCTGTGTTTGATACTAAAATTTGTTCTATGATGATGTTAGATTTGATCTTCTCGTTAATCAAGTGATATAAATGGTTTTGTATTTCTCATAGCATTTTTGGTCTTAGCGAACCGTTAAAACTATGATTTATTTTAATAATTGGTGGGATTTAAAATTTCGTTGTTGTTTGAAAATTGCTTTTTCTTCTTGGATAAGAAAAATCAATATATTAGTTCCTTTTCCTAGTTGCAGGTTCCTAACCTCTATGAAGGATACGGACTTCAGAAACCTGTCGGTGGTAGAAGTTTTGATGATTCCGAACCTTATCTATTTACCAACAAACTTACAAGCAGGCCGCATGGAATGGTGGAGAATAACCTTCTTAAAAGCATCTCAGTAGATAAAGAAAGAGCTAATAATGTTGCCAAAATTAAAGTCGTGGTATGCTACTTGAATGCTTCCTTATGTTTTTATATATCTCAAAGCAAGTATTAGTTTCAATGATTTGAGAGATTGCTATGCCAAATTGATCCATCGGTCATGCCAAGAAATATGATGAGCCGTGATTTTGAAAACCTTAATGTTCTGTTGATTGATGAATTGATGATCTGAACTGAAGTTAAAGTTTTATAGAAATTGAATGTGACATAAAGAGCTATAGACTACGAAAATCTTAACCTGCGATTAATATCAAATAGGACTGGAAATAAACAGTTCAAAATTGGCAAAGAAAACCATACACACTTGCCTGCTTTTGTTTTGTCATTGTTAAAATAGCTGATAATAATTGCCAATGCAGGTGCGCAAGAGACCATTGAACAAAAAGGAAATAGCAAAGAAGGAAGAAGATATTATCGCTATAGAGTCAAATTCCAATGCACTAACTGTTCATGAAAAAAAACTAAAGGTGAGCAGCTGCTAGAACTTATCTTTTTCCTTCAATTGTATTATACTGTAGATGTTTGGATTTTTTTTGGTGCAGTTGCTAAATTGAGGTCTTGACCCATCAGTCATGCGCTGTTATAGCATTTTCAAGACATTAATTGTTTAAAGTTTGAACCAAAGAAAGTTAATAGCTCTTTGTCTTGATTTTCATGGAAAATCCAAATTGACTTATTATTTGAAAGCCTCAGCAACTCATGATGATCTCCACCTGCTGTAACACTCTGACATCTTCAATGGTTAATTGTATATGACCTAGTAGCAGTCTTTTCCATATGGTCTAATGATTGATACCTGCAGGTTGACCTGACAGAATATGTTGAGAAGCATGAATTTGTTTTTGATGCTGTGCTGAATGAAGATGTTAGCAATGAGGAAGTGAGTATATGACAGGAAGTGAATAACCTTTCGTGTTTGATTCAGCTAATTTCACTAGATTTCATTTCTATTGCTCTAGGTGTACTCTGAGACTGTTGAGCCGATAGTCCCACTAATTTTCAATCGAACAAAAGCGACTTGTTTTGCATACGGGCAAACAGGTAATGGTTTTATCCTAAATTTGAAATTTATGTGGATGCTATAGCACACTTAGTTCTAAAAGTTCTCTAGTATAAAATCTTTTCTCACTATGAACTTGTAAATTCTTTTTCTGCTGCGTGGCAGCTATTTTATATTTTTAGCCTGAATGCTAATCTTTTAATTTCTGTAGTTTTTATATGTTCTTTATGCAAGATTTTGACAAAGACTGTAAAATCTGAAGAAAGTCAATTTGAATTTTGGTTTCTTGGGAAGGGAAAGGAAGGACCTGAAGTAAAAATACTATTGATTCTGGTTTCAGGAATTTGAAGTGTTTTAGCTGATTTACAAATAGTCACACATTACATTTCTTTTCTTCTGCTCTCATGATGACCAACATGTGAAATTGCCTGAATCTTGGCAGGGTTTAATAGTTAATTATAATATACCAATTTGTGAATGCACCTTGATAAGTGTTTCTATTGGTTTAGCACTGCTGTTCATTTGATCCTCTTTTATTTGCCGTGGTGTCCTCTTCTCCATATCTTAATTCTTTTTTCAATTTATATTCTTGCAAATGTACTTTAGTTGATCCTATGTTTTTCTATGCAGGAAGTGGAAAGACATATACCATGCAGCCACTGCCTCTAAAAGCATCTCAAGATATATTAAGATTAATGTACCATACATATCAGAACCAAGGTTTCCAACTCTTTGTCAGTTTCTTTGAGATATATGGGGGAAAAGTCTTTGATCTCCTTAATGATCGGAAGTAAGTTATTTCTATATGGAAACCTAAACAAATTGTCCTATAGTTTATAGTTCTCTGATTAGGTTTTTACTTTATGCAGAAAGCTTTGCATGAGAGAAGATGGTAAACAAAAAGTATGTATTGTGGGTCTGCAAGAGTACAAGGTATTAGATGTTCAAACGATCAAGGAGTTAATTGAGAGAGGAAACGCAACAAGAAGCACTGGCACTACCGGTGCAAATGAGGAATCCTCTAGGTCACATGCTATTCTTCAGCTTGCCATCAAGAGATCAGGTGATGGCAGTGAAACAAAGCCTGCTAGACTTGTTGGGAAGCTTTCTTTCATAGATCTTGCTGGAAGTGAGCGTGGTGCAGATACGACTGACAATGACAAACAGACGAGGTAAAAATTTTGAATCCATATAATCTGCGAGTATCCTTCTTCAAAGCAATGGTACCATGGATTGCATAGCCATGTTTATGGAGCCATAGAGCCATTGTGCTCAATGGAGGTACTAGGCCAGAAAGGGCACCAACTAGATACTCAAATCTTGTTCCCTTTGCGTATAACTTGAGAACTGGGATGCTCCGATTGCCATTATTTGGAATGTGCCATTCAAATCATAACAAGCTGATTTTATATTTCTGCAGAATGGAAGGTGCTGAAATTAATAAAAGTTTACTTGCTTTAAAGGAATGTATCAGAGCTCTTGACAATGACCAGGGACACATTCCTTTTAGAGGAAGTAAGCTGACTGAAGTTCTTAGAGATTCATTTGTTGGTGAGTCACGTACTGTTATGATATCATGTATTTCACCGAGCTCAGGATCATGTGAACATACCCTGAATACACTCAGATATGCCGATAGGTATGTGGTTCTGTAAGTAAAAATGCATTTTAGAAGTGACTTATGCATTTGTTTGAATAATATACCTGCTTTCCAGGGTGAAGAGCCTATCAAAAGGGAACAACTCCAAGAAGGATGCACTATCTTCGTCATCAAATCTTAGGGAGTCAACTGCACTGCCCTTGGCTTCATCTTTACCAATTGACACATTTGAGGATAACATAGCTGATGTTCCTTTTGAAAAGAACAAATTTGGGTGGTCCAAACTGAATGAAAGAGATACATCTCCTCCTTTTAAAGTAGATCGTGTTCCTAGTGGAAGGGCGGAAGGAAATTTGGCTGTGCCATATTCAGATTATTTCAAGGGTCAGAGAGCTGGTCTAAATGGCATGGCCAAGGATGATTTTGATTACTCAGAGGAGACATATGAGCAACAAAAGATATTGCAGAAAATTAATGGGAAGGCACAGACCTATGAAATTCCATCTTTAGAGAAGCAGAAGACTGATCCTTTGACAAAGCATGTGGATCCTTCAATCTTTGATGATAACAATTCTCATTCAGATGATGATTTGAGCGCCTTGTTGAAGGTACCATCAATCCAAATCTGGATATCTGATTTTTCTACCCTAATTGTATTTAATTGTGAAATGAAAACTGTCTTGTTTGATACTAGGAAGAGGAAGATCTTGTAAATGCTCATCGAAGGCAAGTGGAGGACACAATAGAGATTGTTAGGGAGGTAGATGACAGTCTGGCTGTAATCTCATTCGTTGTCTGACTTGGTTACCTATGTTCTGATAGTTATTATGCCTGCAGGAAATGAATCTGCTAGTTGAAGCTGACGAACCAGGCAATCAGCTGGATAATTATATCTCCAAGTTAAATAGCATTCTTTCACAGAAGGCTGCAGGAATTCTACAACTGCAGACCCGCTTGGCTCAATTCCAAAAACGTTTAAAGGAGTATAATGTTTTAGTATCTTCTGGTAATTGATTTAATCTGCAGAAAAGGGCTCGTGAAACTCACTGATACGGAGTAGAATTCTGCTGGGGACTGATAGGGTGTGGATTTGGACCTGCATTTGATCTGATGATTTCTTCCTTGATGGTGAGGCAGTTAATGACAGTGTCAGTACCTATTAGAGTGGGTGGTGAGAGTGTAATCTCGTTTCTTCCTCCATTTTTGATGCTTCAAGTACCTGTTGCTACTTTTGAGTTATATACCCCACTCCACAGAATTATGTTATAAGTATGTATGCATTGCTCATTCGCTATAAAATATGTAAAATTTCTGCAGCAGTGTAATGTTATTTTTAATAATAAAAACACCTTGTTTTGTGTTTTCAAGCCTGTCCTGATATAGCTTTAAGCCCCTTCCCTTTTTGTTATTCCTGTTTTGCTGGTTTTGCATTTTATTTCATTGTTACTCCCATTTTTCTTGTGAGCCGTGGCTGTTCTTTCCAGACCATGTATTTGAACGAGGATAATTTGGGCCCTTTTCTGGGAGGCCCCATGTTTTATTTTCGAAACCCAACCTGACCACTCTCTACCCTTCTATAGCGAATAAAAGCTCAAGGAAGAGATTGGCTAGAATTCAAATGCCATTGCCGGCAGTGCAGAGAGATAATGAGAGAGAACAAAGATCTGAAAGGACGGAGGAACATTTTTTATGGGATGAAATTCACCAGGCCACTTCTAGATGACGTGGCAGTCGGCTTAAACAATTATTTTCAGCATTTCGTTATCATTTGGTTCACAACTAGTTTGAATTTAGAAAAGAGCACGAAATTTGTTTGATATGCATTGCCTTGGCGTCATGTAATACGAATTTCGGGAAAGCAAACCGGCAAAACACAACGGCTCAGATGGAATTTTAAGTTTTATGGTATGTCCAAATCCAACCAAAGATAAGAGAACAATGTCAGTTTATTGCCACATATTTGGGCACAAAAACAAAGCAAAATTACCATGGACCATCCAACTCGTCTTGTTTAGTTACAGAAAAATCCAAATTGTGCCATGGAGCAAATCAGCTGAGAAACATCGAACATGACATGACAAAGGGTTTTTAGCGACTTTTGCTTTTCTAAGTTCACCAGGATACAATATTGACAATATCACAATACCAAATGAAAATTTTATTTTTATATTTAAAAATATCAAAATTTAAATCTTGATTATTATAATTAAAAATTTAACTCTCCAATAATAAATCATGCGACTACTAACAAAACAAAAAGATATTAAGAAACAAATAAAAAAGAAGAAAGAAATGGGACTCTTTCTGTTTTAATTTTCATAAAAGTAGCATTTGGACAAAATGTATTGTCTTTTTGTAAGTAAGCAGCACTTTGAATTTTGGGGATCTTCACTTCTAACATTGTGACATGAGTAACTGTTTTCTTCACATTTCTTTTTTCTTTGTTTCTCTTAAACGTTACTGTCTTGAAAATTTGCTGCAGCTATGGAAGTCTTATTCCAGGGTCATTGTACTTTCTGATGCTGTGCCAAAAGCCATGAATCTTCAATGTCGGTCTAATGCATCAATGCTTCAGGATTCCAATACTAATGCCGTCTCACTGTTTTCTCTTTCATGTGCAATTCTGCAAGAGCTCGCAAAGCAAAGAAAACAAATAAAGAATGATACCCAATAAATTTTTTTTTTTTTTTAACTTTATTCCTCCTTAAAAACGTAAGGGGGCAGCACTTTAAAAATTAAATTTTGAATGCATTAATTTGATAATTTCTATTAATTTTATAATATTAGAAAAAAAAAAAACAAATCGTTTTCGGATTAATTTGAATGATTACAAATGTTTTTTAATAAATATAAATTATACTTAACCATTAGTAGTTTGAAAGTAATCAAAATTTTCCTTTATTATCATTTTAATAAAATATTTGCCTTAAATATTTGTATTATCGTACATTATATGTAATTATTGGTTTGATTGTAACATTGATTTATAAATTAGTTAACTTAGGCATGAATTAATAGATTTTTTCTTTAAATTTATCTAATAAATATACATCAAGTATAGTATGCAAAATTTAATACAAAATTAATGAAACAAGTAATATGATTCTTTAAAAAGTAATACGTCGGTATAAAAATTTAATACAAAATTAACGAGATAAGTAATATAATATCTTAAAAATAATTTTACTAACTAATGCCTAAAGACACTCTTTAAAATTAGTTAATATATTATTTATAATAATAATTTTTTATTAAATGTAGCAATTATTAATTTTATTTATGATTTTTGATGCATGCGATGAAAATATTATTTTACATAATAACTTAAAAGAGTGTCGTTAAGACATTTATTAACAAAATCTTTTAAAGAATAGATTTACTCCCATAATTAATTAATTAATTAATCTTCGTATTTATGGAACAAGGATCGTCCATGTATTGCAAAACATTTTTCTATGGCTATCAATTGCTTTCACTTATTTTAACTATACAAAAATGATTTCAAATCCTAATCCCAACATTATCCCTATAATACTAATCTAATTAAATTGACTTTATGCTTGGGATTAAGATTTACGAAACCTAGGGATAATCTCCTCAAACTTCTTTATCAAATCAATCCTAGGGACTTGTCTTAGGTTTTGAGCGATTCTTAGGATCGATCCAACTCATGTGGTTGAATCCCCGAAAAGTGATTCTCAACACAAAAGCTAAAAGGAAAACCAAATCAAGTTTCTTTAGCCTCTTCGTAGGAGACAATGGCGATGATGACGGGCTAGCCGCATGTTCAAATTTGTTCATACAAAGCCTTCCAAATTTCATTGTCATCTCTTCTATGTGTCTATAGATATATAATTTTCAAACAGTTATTATATATATAATAACTGTTTGAAAATTTGTTCCTAGAAAGAATGTGGTGGGTATTTATTTTTTTTATAATCAGGATAAGTGTAATTTTTTCATTATATTATAAATGAATATTGAATTTTACTACTATTTTTTTTTTATTTTTCATATGAATTTTATCATTATACTTTTATTTCCAATTTTCTTATTTTTTTTATCAAAATTAATGGAAATGGCATATTTTGATATTATATTTAAAATAAACATTAAGTAGAACATAAAATACAATGTAAATATTTCACATAAAACAAAAATATACATTTTTCAAAATTTTTATTAATAAAATTATTATTTAATATAAAAATATTTTATATTTTTAATAATTTTTTAATTTAAAAATATCAAATATGTATTATAAATTTATTATATATAAATTTTAATATAATAATTTAATGATTTTTTTTTATTTCATTTTATCTCATTACTACTATTATTTTTACATACAAATTTATATTTTATTATTAATTTTAATTTTATCATTATAATATTCAATCTTATCGGTATAATAATTAAGTTTAACGCTATTATAAATTTAAACCTCATTATTCATCTAAATGAACTTTTTAAGTGTTAAGCAAAAGTCTTTTTAAAGCCAAAACAAATCCGATTTGCTACTTTATTTGTGACGAGACATAGCAACAAATATCTTTGTCGTTAAAAACAAATTAATGAATTATTGACCATTGTCGCAAAAGCAAATTGTCTTTTACCGTTCATTTTATTCTAAAAGCTTCGATCCTTTTCACACCGATTTTTTACCCTTCTTTAGAATTTCTATTCTCAAGATTTGTAATATTTCCTTTGTCTTTTTCCACCCCTTTGCTTTAATTATCTTCACATTAAGCTTAAAATTTAATCTAATAACAGTTTCAGAGATGGCCCACAAATCTAAGTAAATCACAATTACCCATCATGTTGAAAATCAATTGATAATCACAATATATCATTGACAATTGAGATAATCTTGCTGATTTTTTTTTTCTAGTCGGCAGCAATTTTATAATTAATTGGTGCTTTAACTGTGGGGTTGACTAATAATTAATTGTCTAATCCAGATGGAAGTGGAGTCATTGTTTTGGAGCTGTTTATCAAACTTAGACCCTAAGGAAATCCGAATCCAGATTTTCTAATTAGTCCAACCAACCAATCAGAAAATTCCTTAAACAGTAGTTCAAGGTTCTGGTTTTGATACAGAGACAAGAAATGTCTTAATCTTATGTATGCTTTGTTATCTTGATTAATGGATTCATTATTAGATAGATATAATGTCTCCCCAGTGAGCTTGATTTGCAGTGAGGATTGAGAGTCAAAATATTCATATGTCTATAGGATGCATATGATGGTGACAGTGCTGCCATTTGATTATACCTAACTTCATGATAGATTCGACTGTGGATTTTCTTGTCCTGCTTGCTCATCAGTCCAAACCCTCTTTAATTTGTTCACATTGTTAACATGATATAAAAATTATATAAACAAAAAATATAAATTTAAATAATTTAAAATATAAATAAATTTAATAAAATAAAAAATATATTTTTATATTTTTATATTAACATAAATTATAAAAAATAATTTTAATATAAAATATAATATAAATATATAATATTTTAATATTTTATATTATTTGAATATATAAATTATTAAATTTATAAAAAAATTTATGATTTAATTACTAGATTTCGATCTAATAACAACTTATATCTCATAAAAGAAAATGGTGACGACTGAATTAAATTTAAAAAATTAAAAGTAGTCAGTAAAAAAGTGGGAAATTATTAAAAAAAAACAGACAAAAATATAAAGAAAAGCTTATAATGTGGAGACTAGCAGAGATTTTGGGGTATATAACTGTGCTCCCCAAGGGCCTAGCATCAATCCAAAAGAATTTAAAAAGTAGGCCTTAGTGGTGGACCAATAGGGAAGCGACACGCACTCCCCGGAAAGTTAACGCGCCAAAGCCCGAGAGCTGCAGTCTTGGCCCAAAAGATATGCCGAAAGCAAATCTGATTCTTAGCCACCGAATCTACGCCACCGTTTCACCCCTCTATCTTGTTTTATTCATTTTATTATTATAATTCATCTTTTGATTATTATTCAATAAAAATTGAAGTTGTCTCCCACTCGCATTTAATTGGCGCGTGGTCGCCTTCGCTTACGAGCTGTTTGTTTGCGCCAACCAATGGCTGGAGAAATTATGAGAGTCAAAGGCTTAAAGCCTTGCCTTGCTCCGCAAGGAAGAGCAAAATAAAAAAAACATGGCCTTCCTCACTTCTTATTGGACAATGTCTTTTTTTTTTTTTTTAACGCAAGAAATTAAGAGGGATTCATCTCACGTTTCAATTTTCAACTTTAATAGGATAATATATATACTTATTATTTAACGGTACCGGTTCGGTAAAGTATTAAAATTTTAATTTTATTTTTTTAATTTAATTCAAATAATTTTAAATATCAAAAGAAAAAAAATTTATTTATCATATGCATATATATTAAAATAGTAAAATTCTCATCAATCCTAAAAAAAAAAGACACATTAATTACATGTTAAGAAAACAATATATGCTCTTAAACAAATGTTTATACACTATCAAGTCCATTAAAGAAAAAAGTATGACCATGCAAATAAAAAAAGAGTTGTCAAAAATATTTTTTATTCTATTTACTTTGCAAATATTTTTTTAATTTATATTTAATATATCATTAATATATAAAATTTAAACACTTTCAATTAATGACACATAATGAATAAATAAATATTAATTTTTAAAATAAATATCTATAAATTAAAATTTTTAAAAAACTATTTGTTAGTAAAATAATATTTTTTATTCATTTTATTAATAAATTATTATCTTTTAATACATTAATAATATATAAAATCTATACATTAACAATTTATCAAATATATATATTTTTTGAAATTTGATTATCTTCTCTATTTAGTAAGTGATTGTTAATCCCAACTATAGTTCCCTTATTTTTTAGCGACAATTGCTAATGCCCACGTCGCTAATTATTAAGCGCAGACGCACTGAACACGCGCGTATGTGAAGCGCACTGGAATAATAAGCTTGGAAAATATCTAAACCCATTGGAACCATGACGTGTAGCAAAAGATGATAAAAGCGGTGCCATGTGGGTCCCCATCTCCTGACCCCAGGAAATATCAAAGCCGTCCGGATGCTAGCCACGATACCCCTCTCGTCACTGTACTTTGCCTCACTATATATTACGGTTCTATCTCAAACATATTTAAAAAAAAAAAAAAAAAACCACCCAAAGGGCAAAGGCAGCAAAACCCAACTCAGCCCTCTGCCCTCTGCCCTCTGCAATTGTCTCTGCCTTCTTCTCTTCTTTTGGCTTAGAAAGAAGGAAACTTTGTTTTCTTTTTTTTTTTTTTAAGTTTACAGGGAAGTAGCAGAGAGACAAAAAGTTTGATTTTTATGTGTTGATATGGAGGTCAATAGTAATACTAACATTGCTGCGCCGTTCGTTGTGAAAACTTATCAGATGGTTAATGATCCGATGACTGACACTTTGATCACTTGGGGTAAAGCTAATAACAGTTTTATAGTCATCGACCCTTTAGATTTCTCTCAGAGGATTTTGCCTGTTTACTTCAAGCATAACAATTTTTCTAGCTTCGTTCGCCAGCTTAATACATATGTAAGTACTAAGTAGTTGTAAATTTAAATTGAATATAATATCTGCTGGTGTTTTTAAGTTGATGCATTTGTTTCAAGGGTTTTTCTTTATGTTTTTTATTTTGGTGTTTAGGGTTTCAAGAAGGTGGATCCGGATAAGTGGGAATTTGCAAATGAATGGTTTCTCAGAGGGCAAAAGCATTTCTTGAAGAACATAGTAAGAAGAAAGCATAATAAAAATCCATACATGCAAGTGAAAACTGAGGACTTAAACGACGAGGAAATAGTCATTGAAATAGCGAGGCTAAAAGAGGAACAAAAATCGTTGGAAGAAGAGTTACAAGGCATGAACAGGCGTTTAGAAACCACTGAGAGACGCCCGCAACAAATGATGGCGTTTCTTTACAAAGTTGTTGAAGACCCTGACCTCCTTCCTCGTATGATGCTCGAAAAGGAACGCACCAGACAACTTAACGCCGACAAGAAGCGACGGTTGACGATGATGCCATCCCCGTATTCATCTTCTTCAAGCCTGGCCGTTTCGAATAATTCAGTAAAATCTGAAGAGGAAGAAGAAGAAAGGCATCCAGGAGTAATTTCGTCCCCAGAAACTGGATTCGATATAGACAACAACTTTTGTCGCTCAAATTATCAATCGTCGCCATCGCCTGAGTACTCCAAAGAGTTATTGGGGCATAATAAACAAATTGTGGGGCAAGTCATGAACTACGGTTGCGCCACAGTAACTAAAAAATTACCGGCGGTTGCGGTGGCACCATCAGTGATTGGAACCGACATGGCGGTGACTTCGTCGGGAACGACTAGTATAGCAGGGTATGATGATAGGAATGGGCAATTCGGTTATTTTGGAGAAATGGCGGCGCGCCCACCACCGCCTTATCCATTTTCGCTATTGGGGGGTGGCTTTTAGTTAGTTGCTGCACGAGACATATCTTGGATTCCACCTTTCCTATTTAATTTTGTTTTTAGTTTTAGATTTTGCGTATTTTATTTTTGGTTTTTGTATATATAAAAAAAATGATTTAATTATAAGTTTAATTAAGAATTATGCTTAATATTTTAAAATTATGAATATGATTATTTTATTTAACATTTTTTATGTAACATTCATAAATTCCAATTAATTTTCGTTTTTTATTTTTGTCAATGCTTTGACAAGAAAAAAATTTGGTGGAAAAGTGGAAAGTGAAGCCCAAGAAGTTTGGATGCCAACGGCAATTGGCAATACCCAACAACAGCACGCCACGTAAGCTTTCCTAACAGTACAAAATTCTGTAGCATGCCTTCTTTTTATTGGCAACTGAATTTTTGGCAGCAATATTTCTTTCCTTTTGGTGAATAGCAGAGAGAATCCATTTCAATCCCACGTGACCACCTCCTTTTTGGTGCCTAAAAAGGACAGCTCATAACGATGTTAAAAATTTTTGAACAAAAAAAAAAGTTTAAAATTGTTCAAGAAATAAAAAAAATATTATTTAATATAATATTCTTTAAGTTGGGTTTGATATATAATATTATAATAAAATCAAATCAAATGATATTATAAATAATATCATCTTATTTTATGTTTAATGTATATAAAAATTATGATAAAATAATTTATTTATTTGTCAAAATTATTTTTTTAATTTATATAATTTAAATTATTAATATAATTTTAAAAATATAATTGAACATATAATTTAATTTGATGAATTAAATATAATCATTTCATTTAGAAAGAATTAAATAATTTTATACGAAAAGAATATTAATTTTTCTATAATTTTTATTTTTTAAAAATAAAAATTAAATATAATATAAAATAATTATTATTTTATCTTATTAATAATTTTACGCATCAAACTTGATCTTAAAAAGTAATTTTAAGATATCCCTAACCAAATTATTTTTTAAAAACATCTTTTAAAGAATATTTTTGAAAATTACATTAATGATGTATATTGATCTAGTTTCTCAATCACATTATGTGAAGGTCAATGATGGAACTATGATAAAGAAACATGTGGATGAGGGTTAATTCCGTGAAATGATACACTCTTTCAAAGATGTGATGCTGGGTTTTCAAGAACAAGATGATTTTGGTCCATTAGAATCGATCGGATGAAGGTTTGATATTGGCTTCTACGCTTAATAGTTGGCCATGCATTACTAGATATATCGAAAAAGCTGCATAATTCTCATATCCTGAATGCATCCAATCGTCGAGCAAATTTAATCAATCTTTTTTGGTTCTTTAATCAGAGATATTGTTGAGTTGAAGCACAGGGCTTGAGTTTATATGTTTCATCGTATTTTGAGGGTTTGAAATTATCGTGAGTGCTTTGCCAAAATCCATATGTGATATGAATACGAATATTTTGAGGTTTTCTGGTCCCCTCCTATGAAGTTTCCGTACTTTTTAAAACTCGTGCATGAAAATTAAATTCTTTAAGAGATTTAAAAATATTGTAATTTATTTTATTTTATTTTTTTTAAATTAAAAAAAATCATACACGATAAAAAAAAAAAAACTCTCTCACCTCATAATTTATTAATTTTAAGATTTGAATTCAAGTTTTCAATATAAAATTTCCAATTTTAATCGTTAATTTTATGTTATTATGACCACAAATGCACTTGTACTTGCAATTTACACTTCCTGTATCTTATAACAGAATTGGAAGTTTAAAAAAATCGAGAACGTTACATATTAATGGTGTTTTTGTTACTTGTATCTATAATCTAGTGTTATTTTAACATTTTATTTTAAATTTTATCTTATTATTTAAAATTATTTTAAGATATTTATCTATTTATTTTTTAAAATTATTTATTAAGTATTAATAATTATTTATATTTATCATCGTTACTTAAAACTTGATTGGCTTATAAGACAATTAATTCATAACTGTTATAAAAAGAAATTAAATCAAATAACAAAGACTAAAGTTTCATTTGATACGAGAAAATGCTTTTTGTTTTTAATTTTTATTTTTTAAACAAAAATTTTTATTGTTTAATTTAAAAAAATTGAATTTGATAAATGAAAATAAAAAAAAATTTTAAAAATAAAAAAATAAATAAAATATTCAATGATATTATTATTAATGTCATCTAATTATAATTATAATATATATGTATTAATTAATGATATTAAAAAGTGTTCATATATAATAACTTAGAAAACATTTAAAAAAATAATATACATTCTTTATTTTCATAATTAAAAAAATATTTTTCTTTTAATATTTCAACTCGTTTTTATTTTTATTTTTTAAAAATTTATTTTCATTTTTAACTATTAAATATGCTTTTACTCATATTTTTTTATTTTTATTTTTTTTAAAAAAAATGTTATTTTTTTAAACCAAACGTTACCTAAAATTTTTTTAAAAACTAATTTTACATTTTTATTTATTAAACTTATACACAACAGTTTTTACTGTTCCAATTATCGTGTTAAATAATTGGCAGAACTGACGAACATTAACTATCAACAACATGCCGCGTGGATCGCAATGCCACATAGATTTCCCCAAATAATGTGACGAGCCCTGCTCTTGCTCGCGTCAACGGCACAGAATTTTGATACTCCCAAATTTCACTCCAACCGCGCCTCTTCGATTGCGTAAAAGGACATTCCCAAAAAAATATATTTTAATAAGCTTATGACTATATAAGAACACTGCTAAATTATTAAATTAAAATACTGGTAGGTCCATATTTTCTTGTGGAGTTTCTCAGTTTTCCCAATAATCACAGGTCCACGTGAGGGGCGAGGACAAGCAAAAGCGTCCGCTCATTATTTTTAATTAATTAAGATTAGCATTTTGCTTTGTGCAAAGTCAAAACAAAACCACCAATAATAATGGTAATTCTCCTCCGTGTGACGACCGAATAACGTGAGCGCAGGATCACGTGGGACCCAATCTCTCCCCGGGGAGGTAAAGTGGGTCCCAGTATTTGTCAATAATAGAAAAGGATGGGTCCCATTGGCATCTCAAAACTCTTTTCTTTGTTTATTTTATTTATTTAGGATGGGGACCACTGGACAGATTGACCTTTTTATCGCTAGATCGTGGCACAATGAAGATGGCGGGTGAAAGTTGGGTTTATGGTTTCGACACGTTTACGGTTCCCAATGATTCACCTTAAAGCAGGGGTTAAACCATAAAGAAAGATGTTGAACCCATCACTGCCGTAGGACCCACCACGAGTCATCGTGATGGTTTGGTAATTTGGTATGTAATTTAAAAGTGTAGGACTCGTTACACTTGCACACCAAAAGATTATGCCAAATTGCAAATGGGGTCCAATTTTTAGAAGAATATACCCTTTCAATTTCCTTAAAATTTTCTTTGTGGGAAAAATTTTTTTTTTTTAAAAGGTGGGGTGACAAGTATTTTCTTGGCATTTTGGCAATCCAAGAGAAGTCATTGTCTCGTTGTTTTAGGGTTAATTGTCGTTTTGTACAAAGTATTTTATTATGATAGAAGGTTGTGATTAGAGAAAAGCCACGTTTAATTTGATGATTTGATTATGAAAAAATTATAATAAAATTTGAAGAAATTAAAAAAAAAACTAATTTGTGCATGTGATGTATATAATGATTGATGGTGCACTTGTAATTTTCTTCTCAATTTCATCATCATGCTTGGGGAGTTAAAGTGCTATAACCCATATGATCATACTAAAGGCCTGAAGGAAAATACATGAACAAAAAAAAAAAGTGAGAAAAAGGGTTTTATGTATGTGTATTGTTCTTATTGTCCATTTGCTTTTTTTTTTTTTTTTTCATTTTTCCCCCCCCTAAATTGTAGAGTGTTATCAAAGATACTTGAAACTTACCATTTCTTTGTTGGTCATGGTTCTGAGACCCAACGAAGAGTCTTGGCCCGACTATCAAATCTTGATCCAATTCCAATCTATGGCTCGCTTCATTATATCCTTGGAAGCCCATCTAGTTTCCCAGGAACCCTAAAGCCCAATTTCAGCAAGAAGCAAACCAATCATAGGATTGATTGGTTGAAAATTTGAAAGGCTGATTTGATTTCCTAGGAAAATCTCAGATATATAATACTTCATATGTAAGCATTGAGAGAGTGATTTGATTTCTCTGAAAAATATGATATTTTCAACTTTTAAAAGGTGGCATATATGAATTAGTAATTGTTTGCTCAGAGGGAACCCTCTTATTTATATATATATATATATATTTATATATATATATGTATATATCCTATTTGATCAATATAAGAAGAAGTATCAGCTTACATAAAAAAATATTTTTTTAATCATTAATTTTAATAAATTTAAAAATGAAATTAAACTATTTTTTATCACTTGAGTGCAAACTTGGTCTTCTTCCCTTACTGTTAGAAAATCAGATGAATAGAGAGGTGCCAACATTTTAACCTTCATATTCAATGTGCTTATATCATAAAATATACAGATTTATTTTTTATTTTTGGTTTCAAATTGAAGTATTTCCAAATAATATCTTGTTTCTTTTTTAATATCTTATGCTCTAACATTATTAATGGTTCATATATATTGATTCTTATCATTTTTTGCTTATTTTTTTTTATTGACACCAAATTCAGAATTTTATATTGTTATTTTGTAGAATTCCATGTCATGTAAAAAACGTAAATATCTATTTCCTGTTCTTATGAATGGATCTTTTCGTTCTATTATGACGAATATAATATTTACTCGATAATGAACACATATACCAAATGAAATAACTTTCAAGTTTCAAGTACACTAACGTTGTCAAAAGTATTGCTTCAATTGTGATCACATTTCTCCTTCAAGTTCCATGGCAAGGTCAAAAAGTCATTCTGTTCTTTCATCTCAATCATAAAAAAAAGAAAATAAGGGTGTCCTAGTTTCTTCATATGATGTTTACAGCTTAAAATAATAATAAAAAAAAAGACATCATTGGTGTTGCTTTCTTAGTTGTCATCACATTTCATTTCAAGATTATTTGGCGTAGAAAAAACTAAAAAGAAG